GGATAAACAAAAATAAATAAATCCAATTTTAATACTGCACAGATAAAGAGAACATCTCAAACTTAAATCAGGAAATAAAATTCACTACAAAACAGCATTTGGAAGACCACAGTCTCGTCCAGGACAGAGTGAGATCATGTCTTTAAAGTAATAATGGAAAGTATTAGTATTATATACCTAAATATTGTATCATTTAAGAATGAAAGTGGTCTTTCTTTCTATTTTCACTTATTCTGATGGCACACAATCCAAGCAAAAGCACAGTGTTCCAAAGTTTATGAAACTTCAGGTGGTCCTCTAGCCCTCACCTCCTATTCCTAGACTGTCATAAACCCCTTCTACATAGAAATCACAGCCACCAATGTGATTGAAAATGATTATTGAGAATAACTGATTCTATACAAGCTTAATGGGTTGTTAAGTATCTGGGTTGTGAATTATATTCATTGACCAGTAGTCGATGGGTAAAAATTATGTGATAAGTTATATAGAGCCATACTCCAAATATTAATGCTCCAGCCTTAACCAACAGGAAGTCCCATTCTTTGCTGTGGTATCCTCACAAAATTTTCAGGCCTCTCAGTTTTCACTTGTGATACCCAAATGTACCTAGAACTGCCTCTCTGTGTTGTCCTTAGTAAGGTCATGTCCCAACCCAGAGTGCCCAGAATGTTCCACATACACACAGAACACTTGCATGCACCCTCCCTCAGCTCCTGCCCTCCTTGTGCTCCTTGATCTCCGTCCCCCTGCTGGTTTCACTAGAGGCAGCTCATTCCTTCCCCTGTGGAGTCCACAATGCCATTTTTTTTTTCTTCCAGGCCACTCCCAAAACACTGTCTACAGCACTGCAGATGCATGCCAGCTGCTTCTCACTACAATTGCTCCTTTCTCACTCCCCAGAATGGGGGCCTCCTTCTCTTTCAAAGGCCCAGTTCTCTCTGAGTTGTGTGGGCCTTTAATGATACATCTATGAGCCCCACAATCCCTAAAGGACATTTTCAAATGTCGTTGTGTTTCTGCCATATATTAACCACAAAAAAAAAAAAACCCTAGTTCTAAAGCAAAAAAAAAAAAAAAAGACAATTATGTGATAAATGGCTCAGAACCATGAAATAGATGCTGATTATAAATATAGGCTTTAGGCATTATGAAATTAGGCAGCTCTAAATTTTCAGAGAACAAAGAGACAGCAAGAGCATTTTTGAAATATCAAAAGGACTTTCCGGTTATAATTAGTAAATTGACTAACCTTTTTAAAGGTAAAAGGGAATTTCTAAAGCCTCAGCCCTTCATGGAATTGTAGATTACTGTAGGTCTAAGAGATCATCTCTGCCAAATTCCTCACTTTCACAGATGAAAAAACAGAAGGTGTGACTTTCCCAAGGTCACAAAACAATTTTGTTACTGACAGGATACCAACCAAGTTCTTGACTCCCTTTCTCAGGCCCTTCCCATTCATTTTACAACAGAAGCTGTTAGCAGGCAGATTGAGGGGCACCGCAGCACCCCCAGACCTGCCTACCCTCAATGGCTTCTGCCATCCACCACATAAAGACAAATATACTCTTAGTGCATAATACATTCAATAGAAAAGAACTTCAATATAATTAGTTGCAGTAAAAAGAATAGAGGAGGGCCTCCCCGGTGGCGCAGCGGTTGAGCGCTGGGTTGCGAAGCTGCCCGTGGCCTCTGCGGCCCCAGTTCGATCCCCGGCTGCTCCCTGGCCACCGGAGGAGGGTCCCACATGGCGCGCAGACCTCTCCTGCAGCCTGCTGCTCCCCTCAGCAGTGTACTTCGGTCCTTCTACCTGCTCTGCTCCCCGCTCTGGCTCTGGTGAATTCTCTCACCCTCCCCCGCTTCTGACTGTACCCAGCGCATGTATAAACAAACAAATAAAATAAATAAATAGAACATGCCTCTATTAAAAAAAAAAAAAGAATAGAAGAAAAAGAATATAGTTAAAATAGTTTCCCTATAAAACACCCCAAGTTACCCATGCCCTTGTGGGTAAGTGCCCAGCCAAAGAGGGTCATCCCAAAGCAAGGCCACTGAGGCCTGAAAACTTGCCCCAAGTCTAAGGCATCTTCTGGAAGGGAATCACAGGAAAGAGGCAAAAAGGGCCAAGCAAGTCTGGAAGGAGAAGAGCAAAATCAAAACCCAAGTCAAGATAAAGGCTGCCATTGTCAATCTCCCCACAGTCTGTCACCCACGACTCTGTTTCTTTCAAGTGTCTCTTTCCATGTCCCCCAAGTCCCTGGTACAAGTCTAAGGCCAAGAAGCAAGCATGTCTTCTTCACTTGTCTCTCTGCTCCCTGTGCCTCCTCCAGATTTTCTCTTCACCTCCTTTCCCCAGTCCTTCTCCCAGTCTTTCTACAATAGCTTCTCCAGGCTGCTCAGCTCTACCCTTCCATGGGTGGGAGAGGGAAGCTGCCCTTTACAGTACCATTGCAAAGAAAAGACTGGACCTTAGTGATCAGCTATCAGGGCAAATTCTCTCCAATCTCCTGTAAGACCTGTAACTATGGTCAGAATCATGGAACCAAAAGCCGTGGCCAGCCCTCTGGTCCTTCAGACCACTCACTTGATCCATTTTTCTGATGAGCTCTGTCGAGTATAAAATGCAGCTTCGTCTTCCACAATGGTCAGCTACTTCCAAAAACAGAGCAGTTCAGCTCGTCATCTTGTTTCTGGATCACCACCCCTGACTTTTATTCTGAGTTCTCTCTATCTCTTGGAAACATTTTTCTTTCTTGCTCCTTGCTTGGCTTATTCATCTTTCTTGTCTTATTATTAGGTGGAATAATGTATGAAGACACTTCTTGCACAATAATTGACTTGGAATTGTCTTCGTTCAGCTTAAAGATGGCAAGTGTCTGCTCTATGCAGACAGGAGTAATACAAGGACCAGCAACACAACCTCCTCCCTAAGTACTCAGCAAATGTTATGCCTGGCAGTTCCTTTTTCTGTCTGTCATTCTGAATATTGAGCCTCTACCATTACCTCCAGCACAGAGACAGGCTTGTAACCATCTGTAACAAAAAGCAACAAAAACAGACAGAACAACTGTGTATGCGTAGTAAGATTCCTCCCATATCTTTTCCTCCAGGATCCAGAGAGGACTTAGGACGAATCAGATACTGGCAGGGGGAGGCCACCAAAAAAGAAGGAAAAAAGGAAAGTGTCATCACATTTGAGGTTGTGTTGACTCCAGTGTTTGCTTTCCTTAGATCCCTGGTAAATTTAGAATTCTATTATAGTGTGTATACCAACTTATTATGTCATTGCACTTAAGATTTTCCAAAACTGAAATGGTCCCAACCTTTATCTCAATTACACAAACCTATCAAGTTCCAGCCTTAATATCAAGGTATCAACTTCTTATATCAAAGATTCAAATTTTTAAATAACAAAAAATATTTTTCAGATTGTAACCAGAGACCTATTAGAAATTTCCAATCATTGGCATTTCTATAAGTTGTTACTAAAGTTGCCTCAAAGATAGAAATAAACATCCTATTTCCAAATTGAGTCATGCAATCACGGAACATGAAAGCTGATATGTCCAGAGGTATAAACCAGGATGATGGTTACCAAGTGCTGGGCTGGGGGCCAGAAGTGATCCACAAATAAGTTTTCATTTGCCCAAGGCAAATGAAGCCAGTGGTATATCATTGTGAAGGACCAGTCTATTCTTGGAAAATTCTGTCTTTCATTGCAAAATTAACTCAAATCTGACCTATCTTACTATCTTCTGATGTTAAAATGTCTTTTATAAAATAATGTTGCCAGTGACTGTTGCATACTTTCTTCTAGGTTCTTTTTTGTCAAAATTAAAGATGGCAACCTCAGATGACCCACAAACTTTTTGTTTGCACCCCGTATTACCAAAACTTCCCACTTCCACTCTACAAAGAATTGGTCTGATGAGAATTCAAAACAGAAAGAATCATGTCTACTTAGAAGTGTTCAAAAGATAACCCAACTAAGGTCCAAGATAGAAGTTTGTCAAAACCCTGCTTCAAATAAGAATTCATAAAGGCAGATGCAGATTGAACTATGTTTACTTGCTCATCCATGCATGGGGGTTGGGATGCCTTCATAAAATACGATATAATTTCAACTTTGAAAAATGGCCAGCATCAAATTTTGAAAAAAATAACCAGGGTATTTATGATAAAATTTCAATGACATTACCAGTGCTAAATAGTCAATGAATGGAATAAATAGAAAGTCCAGAAACAGACCCATACACATACAATAATTTATGTTTGATAAAAGGGAATCTTTTTAAGTGAATAAAGAAGATATTGTCAAGTAATGATGTTGAGAGAACTAAACAGTAAGGTGTTTTGAAGTAAATAAGTCCATAAATCACAGCTAACATTGCCCCCACAAAATGAAGATAATGTGTGTTAAAATTTTAAACCCTCTGACAGAACTAAAAGAAAATACAGATGAGGGCCTCCCAGGTGGCGCAGCGGTTGAGCGCTGGGTTGCGATGCTGCCCACAGCCTCCGCGGCGACAGTTCGATCCCCGGCTGCTCCCCGGCCACTGGAGGAGGGTCCCACATGGCGCGCAGACCTCTCCTGCCGCCCGCTGCTCCCCTCAGCAGTGTACTTCGGTCCTTCTGCCTGCTCTGCTCCCCGCTCTGGCTCTGGTGAATTCTCTCACCCTCCCGCACTTCTGACTGTACCCAGTGCATGTATAAACAAAAACAAACAAACAAACAAATAAATAAATAAATAAAACATGCCTCTATTTAAAAAAAAAAAAAGAAAATACAGATGAACATGTTTAAATATTGGAATGAAGTCTTCCTAATTTTGATGCCAAAGAGAATAAAAATAAAACATTGATTTATTAGACATATAACAATTTAAAACCTTCCTATAGAAAGAACAAATTAAAAGAGCAAATGATTAAATAAGAAGTAGGAAAAAAGTAGCACATGTGACAATGGATTGATAGTCAACATATACAAATAATCCTTAAGAGCAATATGAAACAAATTGAATTAACAAATTCAATCTCTGAAAATCAAAAGTAAAACACAAAAGCAAACCTAATTATGTGTCCATTTGGCAGCATAGCCACAGAAAGAAGCCATTTGAAATGATTTTAACACTGTAATTAAAATGTGATTCCTAGTGGGATATATCCTAAGGCAAAGAAAGAACTCCCCAAAAAATGTAAAATCTTAAACTGTTGGACCTCCCTGGTGGTGCAGCTGGTTGAGCACAGCACTGTGGAGCTGTCCGCATACTCTGCAGCATGGGTTCGATTCCCAGCCCGCCAGGGAGAAACCCACATGGCACGGCAGGCCTCTCCTATCGCGCCCACTGCTCCCCTCAGCAGTGCTTTTGGTCAATATGCCTGTTCTACTCCCCACTCTGTCTCTGGTGAATCCTCTCAAACTCCTGAGCCTCTGGCCTATACCCTAGCTATTGTATAAATAAAAAATAAATCTTTAAAAAAAATCTTAAACTGTTTTCCATGTTCATATCATGGGCAATGGTGTTGGTGTTACTCTTCCGAGGCCGTGTTTGTGATGTGAAGAACCAGGACTTTGGGTGTTGAAGAGATGCAGATAGATGCCAGATCAATGAGGTAAAGCAAAAACCCCTTTTGTCCTGAATTTGAATGGGAAGTGTCAGTACAAACTTGTATTTCTTAATTATATTTCCTCTCTCTGTCCACTGGGCAGGCTTAGAAACAATGACAAGACCAGGCACCCAGATTGTGAATGTAATTACCATTTTCCTCTAAAAGAAACTAGGATTTCCCAAAGAAATTACAATTCTGGGGCAGGAAATGTAGAATGTTAGCCTGGATCATTTTTCACACCAGATTGCCAGGAAAGTATCAGATGACTAGGTCAAAAGGACCCAGGAAACCACTTGGGGAGGTATCCATTGACACTGATGAGAATTTCAGCATCAGTAAGGATAGCAACTACAAATTGATTTTAACAGTCAACTTTATTCAAATATATGAGTTTATATGGTATCAATGAAAGTTACTAAAAAAATCAAACCCTTAGCTTCCTTACCTCTATAAATTGTACTTAAAGACAGACAATTTGATATGGAGAATTTCTTCTTACAGACATGTCATGCTAGTGTATGCCAAAGGAACAATGGATACCACAACTTTAGAAATTCCTAATTAATAAATGGATTTAGGGAATGAAGCACCATTTATCATTAATGTCACATAAACACCCTAAAAAGAGGGAAAAAGATATTGCATACTTCCTGATGTCCATGCCACCACCCTGCCTATGAAGTATTTTGTCAAAAAGAATCAAAGCTGAAAAATGGAGCTACCATATGATCCAGCAATTCCACTCTTAGGTATCTATCCAAAGGACACAAAAATATTAATTCAAAAGGACACCTGCACACCTATGTTTATTGCAGCACTATTTACAACAGGCAAGCTATGGAAACAACCCAAATGCCCAAAAACAGATGACTGGGTCAAGAAGATGTGGTATATATACACAATGGAATATTACTCAGCTATCAAAAAAGATAAACTCATGCCATTTACAGCAACATGGATAGAGCTGGAAGGGATCATGCTCAGTGAAACAAGCCAGAAGAAAAAAAGAAAAATATTAGATGGTCTCACTTATAGGAGGAATGTAGAAGATCCAAATAAGGGATCAGGGAAAAAAAGAGTAACTATAATAAAGTAAAACTCAAAATCAGCAGGCAACTATAAACCAGAGACTTTCTGCAGGGGCAGGGGAGAAAGGAGTAGGATCAAAACAGGGGTGGGAAGAGCACAAGGGACCATGGTGATAGTTCACGGGTGAATGGGTGATGGGAATTTTATGGGGACTATAACTGAGATGAAAATGTATATATTGTACAAAAATGAAAAATGATGTAAATAATATATAAAATAAAATAACAAAAAAGAATCAAAATTGAACCTGATCAAGTATGTAGATCTAATTACAAATTTACAGATTGTTCAGGGGAGAGAGGAAGATATTTAACAGCACAATGGTCATATAATTAGTAAACTTTAGACAAAGGGGAATTCTGTAAGACAAATTAGTTTCTTCAGCAACAACAAAAATAATAAGATTGTGTGGGATAAAAGGAGGAAGACAGAAAAGAAGGAGGGAAAAGTGGAAGAGGAATCTGCAGATTAATAGGGCTTAAACCTGTATAGGAAAATAGAAGAAATAAAAATATTGAGTAGACATTTGATGATGGCTAGAGAATATTATTTTTTTGTTCAAGCATTGGTGATACAATCATTTTTTCAGAAAGAAAGTATATTTTAGAGACACGTGGAAATATTTGTAGCTATGATAGTATTATTAGGCAGGAGGCTGGAAAGTGATTTACGGAATCAAGAGTCAACTTGCGTTGAGAATTGTGAGAACTGAGCAAGGAAGATAATGTCAAAACCGTTAGACGTTAAATTTTTATATATGTTGAAATTTTCTATAAGACACCAATCAAGAAAATAGCAACAAGGAAAAGTTAATTACACCAACTGGGAAAAAAAGGGACTAAAATTTTTATTTTTATGCCGCTATATTTAGGGGTAATTATGTAGCATAGTTACTGGAATCATAAGTGATTTCTTTTATTCATTTATATTGGATATTTATTGGATCATATGGAAGCTCTATCTTTAGTAGGTCAAGAAATCGCCACACAGCTTTCCATGGTGGTTGGACCATGTTGCACTCCCACCTGCAGTGCAGGAGAGTTCCACTCCTAGGTATTTACCCAAAGGACACAGAACATTAATTCAAAAGGGCACCTGCACCCCTATGTTTATTGCAGCACTATTTACAATAGCTAAGCTTTGGAAACAATCCATATGCCTAAAAATAGATGACTGGATCAAGATGATGTGGTACATATACACCATGGAATATTACTCAGCAATCAAAAAAGATAAACTCAGGCAATTTGCAGCAACATGGATGGAGCTGGAAGGGATCATGCTCAGCAAAATAAGCCAGAAAGAAAAAGAAAAATCCCAGATGGTCTCACTCATAGCAGGAATTTAGAAAACCTAAATAAGGGACCAGGAAAAAAGACTAATTGCAATAAAGTAAAAATCAGAATCAACAAGCAATTATAGACCAGAGACACACTACAGTAGGAAGCAGGGGGAGAAGAGGGATTAAGTTCAGAAAAAGGGGGTGGGAATTGTATGGGGACTATAACCAAAGGAAAGAAGACTTCTTGGTTACTGAAGACAAAAGACCAGAAGCTTCTTTGTTGGGGTGGGCCCTGAGCCGACCCCAGGGGACAAGACTAGTCCTCAGATCATCAGCTGGGGACCCTGGGATGGCCAGGGCTCCATGCAGTGGTGCCAGACTTCTCCGCAAGCTTTGAGCGAGATATGGGCTTCTTCGGCTTCTCACTCTCATCCAGGTTCTGTGGGGCATCTTCCAAGAAGGAGATCTCCAGCTCACTCTCATCATCAGACTGCTGCATAGAGAAAAGGGGGAGAAGAAAAGGCATCTGACAAGAGAAATGGAAACACAGGATGAACATGGGGACAAAAATGTCTGAGTTTTAGGGCAAAAGAATTGATAACTCCAGGATGCAGCTTTCTGATTGAGAAAGGTTAAACAGAAGTATGAAGTAAAGAGAGCTGTCAATTTTTCTGCCTAAAAAATAATAGGAATGAGGGAGTTGTTCCCTGACAGGAGTGGGAGGATGGTTGCCTTGTGGGACATGGAGCATCCGAGCTCTAACTTGGATGGCAGCTAGTGTCTGAGAGAGGAAGGGTCATTGAGACTTTCTTAGTGATGAGCAACAGCCTTGAGTATTTACAACAAAGGTATCAGAACACCCCCCTGTATGCTGGTGCCTACTCTGGTGTGCTATGTGAGGCCACCCCAGTAGCACACCCTGGGGTGAAGCCTGCTCTATACACATCCTTGTGTGGAGTCCTGTGCAGAGTGCAAGAGTGGGGAGGGGTTCTCTATGGGATGAGCCTGAGCTGAAAAGAGCAGCAACCACAGGGCCAGACACAGGGCCACTTCTCTGCTTTACCAGAGACCAGAAACAGGAATAAGAGGGGGCCAGGAGAATCAACCTATGGAGTAGTCACTTGTATAAAGAACTGAATGGCTTTTTAATGTTATCATGGGCTCAAACAACAAGCATTTGAAAGTGTCCATTTCAACTCATACAGAGGCAGGAAAAATAGTCCAGGGAAGAGGTCACCTGCAGTACCCCACTAGGGTCAAGGCTGACACTCACTGGACCCTCCTCAGCCCCCACCCCAGGCCCCCATAATTCAGAGCCAGCTCAGTCAGGACTGGCAGGGCACCCTCCAAGCTTCTTGTACCCCACCTGAGACGTCCTCCTTCGCAAGGCAGCCGTCGATGGCCTGGTTTTGGGCAATGAGAACAGACTGACCCCTCCAGCAGGCTTCTTCACTGGAGCCTCCAGCTTTTCCTCCAGGCTTTTGACCATCAACTGCACCAGTGTTTCTGGAAGGTCAGCAGAGACTGTTAGCAAGAAAGGCCCAGAGAATGAAGGCACCATGCCTGTGCGTCACATCTAGGCTCCAGTATGGATAGACAGCGTGTGAAGAAGGGTCAGAAGGAAGGGCAATCATGAAGGTGAAGGGCAAGGAGAGAAACCCAGGCCAATGTGTGCTGGCAAAAAGAGGGGTTAATATCATGAAAATATAACAGTACAAACTTAGAGACATGGCCAGGGATGAGGCTTATAAACATCTGAGACAGAACTTCCTCTCAGCTTGGTACCTGAACTGCAAGACTAACATGAAGACACATCCTCCTTCAATGTCTTCACAGAAACAAAAAGAAATATTATAAATATAAATTGGCACAGGAGGGTTGCAAACCAGACAGACTCTCTGAGAACTCCATGCAAGAAGAGGGTAAGCAATGACACAGATCATCAGTAAACTCACAATGATGTGATAAACCAAGGTGGACATGCAGACCTCAGGAATGGCTTAGAAGCAGGAAGCTAAGCACTGCCTTCTAGGATTCAAATGTCGAATGGCCTGAGCAGAAGTCTGGAGCTACAACAGTCCTTGGGTCATTGATTCATTTGGGAAATGTTTAAGAGCCTACAATGTACCAGGCACTGCGTTTCTCATCCCTATTACCCTCTTGCCCACATATCTAATTTAACAACAGAGGAAGCCCTCATACAAGTGCCAGCAGTCAGAGGGCTGTGTCCCAGGGACTCCTGACTCCTGGCTCTAATATCGTTCTACTCCATCATCCCATCTGCGAGGCATCAATATTTTTCTAAAGATGTGGTTCTGGTTGGTTGTAATGGACCAGCAGGCTTGGAAAATACTGTGAAGAAGATGAATATCTGCAGAATCCAGTGAGAGTGTGGACTTTGCAGATGGCACAGACTTGGGCTCACATCCCTAAGCTTCCATTTATTGACCATGGAAAGATGAAACTGTAAGTTCTACATTCTTTAACTTCTTGGCCAGAAAATGCAACTGAAGTAAGAAGCTCCAAGTTTCATTCATAGTTCAGCGGGTTGAGCGCAGCGCTGTGAAGCTGTCCGCAGCCTCTGCAGCATGGGTTCGATTCCCGGCTGGCCAGGGAGATACCCACATGGCACGGCAGATCTCTCCTGTCTTGCCCACAGCTCCCCTCAGCAGTGTTTTCAGTCATCTGCCTGTTCTGTTTCCCGCTCTATCTCTGGTGAATCCTCTCACCCTCCTGTGCTTCTGGCCTGTACCCCAGTTCTTGTATAAATAAATAAACCTTTTTTTAAAAAAAGAAAAGAAAACCTTGAAAAAAGAAACAAAAATCTTCTGAATCATGGAAGCTTGAAGACAGTGCAATGTCTTCTGAATTAGAAAGGAAAATAGTTTCCTCCTGGAATTCTATGCCTAGCCAACAGAATAAAAATATTTTTAGATATTAAAAAGAGAAAAAATCTTGAAAGAATGGGATTGACTCAGTTGCTTTAAGAAGAAAAATGTGTATTGGGCATTATAACTCCTTAGACAGAAAACAAGTTTAATGAATATATTTGCTCTAGTTACTATAACAAGTTAAATTTCTATGATGTCCTTTTCATAACTACTTGATTTCTGCCTAAATCTCAGCTGAGACAGGCAAAGGACTTTCCTGAAAGATTAAAAAGCTACTTTTACCCAAAGATTGTTGGTGAGAACTTGGGCAACCTGCTGTAAAGGTTCATTGTTACCTTGTGTGGCTGTCACCCTCGCCTTCAAGGTTACTTGGGCAACCATGATTTTCATTGTTCTCTTTTAATAAAAACCTATACTCACTATGTGTGTTACAGGAAACTATATTTGTCAAAATGTCCATTGTCTTTGAGACTAATTGTAAACTAGGTTTGCCCTGGAGGCTACTTTAACCACAGTGATAGTAAACAGGTAATTGTTAACGCAGTGACCATGTTCCCCTGGATCTGGCGCTAATGAACTCAAGCAATGTAAAAAACTGTGCAATCCTAAAATTCAGAAAATGGCTGAAAACAATACTTTCTGGGAAAACAAATTTTAAAAATTAGAAAATAATAATTCCAACACATTAATTTCAAAAACATAATAGAGAATATCAATTTTCCAACATATTACCGCTAGTTCTCTCATCTTGAACAAATCTCTGAAGGTCTCTGAGGCTGTTTCAACATCTGTGACAACGTGAAAGCACAATCTTACCACATGGTGGCGTCAGGGGATTTCTGCGCACCCTCCAATTGGGCAAGCATAGAGGGATAGCCTCTCCCTGTCCCCAGACACATGCCCACTGTCCCCACAGCTGCTGTATCCCCAGAGCCATGTTTCAGCTGGAGGAGGTTCATCAGCCTGCCTTTCTTTTTCTCTAATCCTGTCGCTGCACTAGTGACTGAGATAGGAGGTTGTCTGAGTCTGGAAGCCTAATTTTGCCCATTCAGCATCTACTTTGCAAAGCCAGTTCTGTGCACAAGTATAGCCAGCTTCTGGATCTGGGGAAGCTAGAAGGATCCCCACTTTGGCTTCAGCAGTCAAATCAGCTCTAGCAGGAAGCCAATGCCTTTGGTACTAGTGGCCCCTGTCATTAACAGAGCAATGGTTCCCACGGGTGAGACCCTGGAAGAGGAGAGAAAGGGGTGAGCTCCCCTGAATCCAGCAGTTAAATAACTAAATGACAAGAGGCAAAATGAACCGCCCTCAAATTCTGTCTTCCTCCTGATATCTGCATTATCCCAAGAAAACATCTGAGGGGTGGGAGGATCATTCTCTCCAAGTGACAACAACTTGTTGAATCAGAAAACCTAAAGAAAACTGCTGGGTGTTCAGGGCCTAGAGAAATGTGGCCTGGAGAAAGACTATGCCAGTGGTCCTGGTCACTCACCTGAGGAAGCCAGCCCACCTGAGCCCTTGTCAGGAGCCTGGGGCCTCCCCTCTGAGCTCCCACTCTCAGACCAGTCCCAGTCATCCTCTGCATCGGGACACCTCTTGGGAGGAACTTTCAGAGGCTGACCAGACATGTGCTGCATGGATTCTCCCCCAAAGTCCTCTTCAGAACTGAAGGGCGGTGTGCTGCTTCAAAGAAGAAATAAATTGTAGAGTGTTTGCTTTATCCAGAACCCCACACACACCCTCCCTTGGGCCATGTGATAGGATCATGCAATGTGTAACAGCCACATTAGCTTCTCCTTTAGGAGATGAGCATCCCACCTTTCTAGTGTGGCAACTGGGGACAAAGTAGGGAAGGGGAGGAGAGATTCATCTTGCCTGGGAGCGAACAACCCGAGACTTTTCTCTGGAGCTGGAACTCACCCGAGGCCCCTCTGTTCACTTTTGTCTCTGCCCTCACCTGTTTGCAAAAGCCTGTGATGAGCCCAGAATAGGCAGCCCCATGACAGATCCCCTGAGAGAGAAGATTCCAGGGCTTACCTCAGGCCATGTTCTGGGGCAGCAGAGGAGTTGGAGCGTTTCTGTGCTTTGTGGTGTCGAGTAGAGCTGGGCACCCGGGCCAGGTCAGGGCCACGGCTGCCGAGACTCTGAGGAGTTGCCTTGTGTGGCTCTGCTGGCTTGGAGGGGGATGGTATATATTGAGTCCTGGCCTTGGGCTGAGGCTTTTGGAATGCCACTGAGCTCTGCTGCCTTTTGGCTAGAAACACAGACAGGAATGAGTTTTACCGTATAGCTATCTGGGCCGCCAGTCCTGAAGAAATGCAGAAAGAGGTTCCAACATGCTGGAAATGGACAAGTGGCTCTGTTGCAGTACACCATAATAACCACCATGACTGAATGATTGCCCTTGCTCCAGGGGTCCACTGCCAGCTGCACTTGGGAGTGGGACTGTGTTTCTATCCAAGACTGGAACAACAGCTGAGTTCCAGTGTCATATCATCATTCTAGGAAACTCAGAAGGCAACAGGTCTGAGGAGGGCCCCAACAGACCTGAAAGACCTCCCCAAGACCACAGACCATCTCTACCCACCCAAGCGGCAGCGGGCAGCCTTGCAGGAAGGCCTCGCTGCCACTAGAGGTCGCCGCACGACCACATGGGCCATCAAGCTCCTCACACCCTCCTCTCGGAACTGGATCTGTGAGGCATGCTAAAGCAGGCAGTTAGACACAGTCCCTGGTTTTCCAAACTGCACCAAGACTATCACTACAGGGAGGGGAATCTAGGATCAGCAACTGTGTGTGTGTGTGTGTGTGTGTGTGTGTGTGTGTGTGTGTGTGTGTGTGTGTGTGTGTGTTAAGAAAAAGAAAGTGCATCCCAGGAGTCAGAGTAAGCACTTTTCCATGAGACTCTTACATACGTGGACTGTGCCACAGTGTTAAATGTGTCTCTTATTAAAGTCCAATGTCAAAACAACATCTAAAACACAATGCTCTTGGAAAATGCATTTACTCAAAAATGGACCTCTGGGAAAGCATAAACTGAAGAAAAGGGGAAAGGGAGGGCAAACTTGCAGTGGGAGAATAATAACAATAGCTACAGTTGCTGTGCAGAGACACCAGCCTGTGCTTCCTACAAAATCCATGTGGCCACAGATATTCAGAGTCTATCCTTTTCCCTATTCACAGAGATCTAGGGACTCCATTGAGGCCCATGGACATAAATGGTAGATGCAAACCCAGGTCAGCAGTCATCCCATAGCTAAGATTATTGCCACTTCCTTTCTACATGCCAGGTTTGTCTCAAAACAAAAGAGGCACAGTCTGAGCAGAGACAGAAGGAGAGCATTCAGACATACTCATGAGATCTAGAAAGAGAAGCAAGCACAGACTTTGGAAGAGAGGTATACAGGCTGTTGTGAAAACACAATGCTCATCTAACATGGGTGAGATGCCCTGGAGAAGGCAGGACTCGGATCCTAGGGGAGTAGAGAGTGGCAAAGGGGGTTCACTCCCCACTTTCTGACTACAGGGGTAAGGGCTGGAGGGAAGAGGGCTGGAAGAGCAGCACACCTTTCTTCCCATTCATCTTCCCTGAGTGTCTTGCCCCTGGTCCTGTAAGTTCCCACCACCCATGGCTTAGGGTTCCATCACATCTCCCAGTTCTGGATGGTTTCCAGGTGAGGTGGCAGACTCTGGCACAGTAAAGACTATACCAGATGACTACTGTGAGTGAATGAGTGAATGTTTTAGTAAATAAGCAGAGGGCAGTTCACTTAAATTGAGTATGAATGAAAGTTACCAATCAGGACACATATTCTACAGTCTGATTTGGAACTACAAAAGACTGAACAGCAAAAACAACCCTAAGAAAAAAAAATAACAAAACAGAGGTATTATGCTCCCCAACTTCAAACTATAGTACAAAGTGATGGTGATGAAAGCAGCATGGTATTGGAATAAAAACAGACACACAGATCAATGGAATAGAATTGAAAGCCCAAACAAAACCATACACATGGGGCGACTAATTTACAATAAAGAAGTCAAGAGCATAAAACAGAGCAAGGAAAGTCTCTTCAATAAATGGCTGTGGGAAAACTGGGCAGTCATACAAAAGAATGAAACTAGGTCACTTCTTAACACTATTCATAAAAATAATTCAAAATGAATTAAAGGCTTGAATATACAACTGAAACAAAAGTAAAAACAAATGGGACTACATCAAATGAAAAAGTTACTGACTGAATAGAAAGGCATTTGCACACATCAAGCAGGGGGGTAATATCTAAAATATACAAAGAGGGCCTCCCTGGTGGCATAGGTGTAAAAGCCTTAGCACTATCAATGCCAGCCACTGCGGCATGAGTTTGATCCCCAGCCAGGGAGCTGACCCACATAGCACAGCAGACCTTCCCTGTCTTGCCCACTGCTCCCCTCAGCAGTGTATCTCAGTAAATCTGCCTGTTCTGTTCCCCACTCTGTCTCTGATAAATCCTCTCACCTTCCACACCTCTGGCCTAGACCCCAGTTCTTGTATGCATAAATAAATAAAATAAATCTTTAAAAAATAAAAAACTCAACAACAAAAAAGCAAAATAATAAATAGCCATTTTTACAAAGAAGACATACAGATGGCAAATAGGCACATGAAAAAGTGTTCCTCTCTTATCATTAGGGAAATGCAAATCAAGTGAGCTGTCTCCTCACACCAGTGAGAATGGCAATCATCTAAAAGACAAGAAAAAAGTTTTGGAGAGGATGTGGAAAAAAGGGAACCCTCGTACACTATTGGTAGGACTGTACAAGGGTGTGGTCATTTTGGAAATCAGTATAGACAGTTCTCAAAAAAATGAAAAATAGAAATTCCATACAATCCCACTTCTGGGTATTTACCTGAAAGGTACAACAACACCAATTCAAAGAGATGTATGCATCCCCATATTTATTGGAGCATCATTTTCAATAGCCAAGAGCGAGAAACAACCTAAGAACACAGATGATGGATTAAGAAGATGTGGTATATATATGATGGACTACTACTCAGCTTAAAAAAAAAAAAAAAAGAATGAAATCCTGCCACTTACAACAACATGACAGACCTAGAGAGTATTATGCTTAGTGAAATCAGTCAGACAGGAAAGACAAATACCATGTGACTTCATGCATGTGGCATATAAACAAATAGATGAGCTAAAGGAACTTTTAGACTGTAAGACCAATTGCTGGTTACCAGAAATAATGGGAGAGGTGGGTAAATTGGACAAAAGGGATCAATAGCAGGGTGAAGGATAGCACTGAACTTTTAGTGGTAAACTTCATGTAGTATATACACACAGATTTGTTAATGATGCACACCTGAAACTTATATAATGCTAAAATGCATTACTTGGAGGGGGATCAACATGGCGGCGAGGAAATGCTGCGAGTAAGATATCCCATTAAAAAAAAGTTAATAGGGAGGAAAAGCAGCAGGTCCCAATGAGAACTGGGACACGGAAGATAAATGAGAGACTCCAGCAAACTACCCAAAGAAGAAAGTTGCCATAAAAGAGGACTAGAAGGGAGGAAAGCTCAGAACCCCACTACCCTCCCACTACCCCACTACCCACCCACAAAATCAGCACTCTCCGACCAATGGAAAGAAGGAAAACACAAAAAAACTAAAACAACCAACAAGAACAAACTGTTACAGGGCAGGGAAAGGAGCAGCCCAAACCCTGTAAACCTGCCTATTCTAAATGGGTTCTGCCATCCGCCACATCAACACAAAACATATGAGACTTTAATGGGAAGGAACTTTAATAAAACTAGGAAACAATACAGGAAAGGCAAAGAATCTAGTTTCTAAATGAAGCACCCAAAGTTACCCATCCCCTCATGGGTAAAAGTCCATCCATATGCGATGGGCCCAGAGCAAGGCCCCAAAGCCTGCCACAAGTCTAAAGGATCTTCCAGTGGGGACCCACAGAAAAGGGTCAGAAACAACCAGACAAGCCCGGAAGGAAAAGAGCAAAATCAAAATCAAGATAAAAGCTGCCATTGTCACCTTCCCATGGGTCTCATCTGTATCACCCACATCTGTGTCACCCAGTCCATGACCAAAAGGCAAGCGCAGTTTCTTCACGTGTCTCTAGGCTCCATGCGCCTCCTCCAGGTCTCCTGGCTCCATCCTGCTTCCTTCCTTCCTCAGCCTCCTCTGCAGCTTCTTCTCTCCCTGCTCAGCTTTACCCTCTCTTGGGTGGGGCAGGAAACCTGGAACCTCCCCCTTTCCTGGGGACCACCCTGTTACAAAACTACGCATCAAGGGGACTGTGAGTGGAAAGGAACTATTTCAACCACCACACCCCGTGAACTGGAGCTGTGGAGAACCCTGCAGGATTCTACCCGGAGGTGAGCGAACAGCTCCAGGCACAATTAGAGAAAAACAAAGACTCCCGGAGACCTACAAACAGCCCCAGGCCAACCGGTAAGCTTGTGCGGGAAAGCTGTGCACTTGAAAAGGATACGCAGATCGCGGCTGCCCAGGTCCCGGCGCCTGCGACTTGGGCTTGCAGGGAGACACGTGGGGGCCCTCACTGAGGTGAATATCCCTCACTGAGTAATCAGAAACCAGGCGCCCAGACATGGGAGTGGGGTGCAAAAGGCGCCATTTCTGCAGACACTGAACTGGGCTACAGCCAGCGTCCTGGACCTGAGGGCTTTGGAACTGAGACCTGGGGCACAAATTCGGGGCATGGGATCCCCACGATGTGCCCCCTTGTGGGGCACAAGGCAGACACAGCACCCCAAAGCCGTTGAGGCTTTCCCCACCACTCCCACTCTGTTCCCCTGTCCCACTGGGCAAAAAAAACAGCTCCCCAAGGACACTAGGAGAGATCTCTGGCGCCACCTAGTGACCAGAAAAAAATCACCAACACCCCATAGAATAGGGACCTTTCTTCAGTAAACACTGCTTGAAACCAGCAGAAAGCTCCCAGAGGAGCCAGAGGTGAGCTGGGAAGTTCACCCACGCCAGGCCCCTTCTGACCAGCAGTCCGAGCCCAGAGGGGGAGCAGGCACCCTCGGCCAGGGCAGACCAGGGGCACAGAAGAGTGTGCCTGTCTCCGAATCACCATTTTAGAATAGGGATCGTTCTTCAATAAAGACTGCTTGAAACTGGCAGAAAGCTACCTGCACAGTCAGAGGTGAGCTGAAGGCCCCCACAAGCCCGGTCCCACCTGGCAGGAGGTTGGAGCCCAGAGGAGGATCCAGAGATTT